TCAATTTTAAGAGCAGTCTGTAATTACATTTACGACTACCTCGGTGCCATTATCCTGATGAACCAATCTCGCATACCTGCGCGGTCATCGACTTCACCGGAGCAGATAAACAGTCATTTTATTCGATAATTACAACAGCCTGGTCATCAGGACAAAGGCGAAGAGTAGATTAGTCTTTTAGAAGGAAGGTACAGCAGAAATCGTGTTTATGAATTGGCCTTGGGCCGCGTTGGCTTCTGTCCTGTACCGAGTCACGTGATGGCACGTGTCGTAATCCGAAATTGAGAACTTGTATAATTAATTTCTGTGTCGTTCTATTAAACAGAGTGGGTCACATTTAGGTCCTGAATTAAATAAATTATAATATTAAAATGAACTCGCTGCAGCCTTACTGAGCATTTATGAAAAAAAAATGTAAATTTTCAAAATAAACTTGAAGCTTTCTCAAAATGATTTATTTATTGTCATGTCAGTAGCTTTGATTATTTCGGAGTTATAATTTATTTAAATAGGGACCCCCCCCAACTGTGACTCACCCGAAATTCACAGTGCAGTATTTAAGTTGGCTGTCTCAAATTAACTATACGTGTATCACAGTCGTGTTTGTCCGTCAGATGTTCAAGAAATTTTCCGCGTTTTGTGGATACCGACCTTTCGTTACCATATTCTGAAAGTTGTGTTTGATCCGTGGAATGAGGTTCAATTTTCTCACTTTTCACTAGATTTTTATATAGTTTAATATAATATTTACTCCCAGCTGTGTGAGGAATAAGGAAGTATAATTATTACTTTATTGACAAGATAAGAAACCAGAAGCTTCGTAACTGTGTTCACAAAAGCCCTCCACCGGTCCCTGTCATAAGCCAGATGAATCCAGTCCTCACCCTTGCACTTTAATCCCTCATGATCCATGTGAGTATTATCCACCCATCTACTCTTAGGTCTTCCGAGTAATCTCTTTCCTTGAGGTTTTTCAAGTAACAATCTGTAAGAATTTCTCATCTCCTCCACACGTGCTACATGCCCCGTCAATCTCATCCATCTTGATTTTATCAATTTTTTTATTATAATTGATAAATCGTGGAGCTTCAAATTGAGCAAATATATCCAGCCTCCAGGTACTCCATACCCCCTCGGTCCAAATATTCTTATTAGACACTCAATGTATTACCTTCTTTTAAAGTAAGAGACTAGGTTTTACACCCATGCAAAACAACGGGTATAATTGTAAATTTTACGTTCTTAGATAGCAGACGAACTTTGGAAAAAACGTGGTAATTTGTATTTATATTTATTTGGTGTTCTGTCTGACGACAGGTCCATATGAACAGGATCCTTCCATCCTCCTGTTCATATACGTTCTTGGCAGATGATCCAGAAGTGGTTTGCCATTGCCTTCTACTGTGTGTGAATGGAGTAATTGTTGGGATGCCACGGAGAAACCGGGGAAGCCCCCGGAGGAAAACTCCGTGTTGCCTATACCACGGCCTTGCCCAACACAAGTTATAAATTCGGGCACCGCCGGGAATCGAACCCGATCCAGACGTGGTTTGCCATTGCCTTCTTCTGTGTGTGAATGGATGCGACGGAGAAACCGGGGAAGCCCCCGGAGGAAAACTCCGTGTTGCCTAGACCACGGCCTTGCCCAACACAAGTTATAAATTCGAACCCGAGACCCCAGGATTACAAGGCCAGCGTTGGTAATTTGTACTCTGAGCTAAATATTATTAGGTTGATCACATATTATAATTATTTTACACATGAAACCGACGACTCGAGGCCTCGTGTGATTTTGTGGCCCACATGTACTTCGCGGTGCTCTTACAAATGCATTCGATACGATTAGAGTCGGATGGAATCGAAACCGGTCCATGTCATACGAGTAGCAGAAAGAGAATGTAATCTGTCCAACGACCCACGCTCGCTGTAATGACATGTAACACGCATTGCCAAGCCACATTGTCCGTATTGACAGCCGGGATAGCCGTACGTGTTTCACAGACTCATGTTAGAAGCTGTAATGAAATTACATGTTGGACACTGCCAAATCCACCAACAAGACAAGTTTGTTCTCAAATTCAGTGTACACGGGCCATAATTATTGTGTTACAGTGGTAATTAAAGCACGGATAAAACTGTTATTTACCATCGTAATAAATTGTTACAAATATTCGTTCACCCTTACTTAGTGGTCATGAATGAAGTTACGTTGTGGCAGAACCAATTTTATTATTTGGATTGAACCTACAATAAACATATTGAGACGCTAATAGTCGTTCAGATGGTCAGAAAAATTGGTCTCCCCTTATGGAACCGGAAAGTTCATTACCGTATTTAAAGGATCCCAGCATTGGAATCGATCCTGAAGTACATCGATCAAGTTCACACCCTCATATCCTGATTTAAATAATAATTCTAATTTTTTTCTCCAACCGCTAATAACATCTGTTACGTCGAATATTCCAACTGAAATGTTCCACACATTTATCACCACTTATGCGTGCTAAATGACCTTCCCATCATGTCCTTGGTTTGTTCGCCGTAATATTATTTCCTGACGGGTGGATCGACAAATTATGAATCTACTCGTTGCACATCCTTCTCCTATCTCCTGCAATCTATGATTTCTGAAGAGGTGAAACTTAATATCCCGTGTATTTACGACGCAATATTTCCTTAAAATCGGGAGGTATAGATTCGTGGTAGGCGAAAGCCACGCCCACCAAGAAAATATTAATCTTAAGTTGCCCGACAGATCTAACAGAGCTGGTAAATAAGGATGTTATAATTATAATTAGAACATCAAAATTTGGATAATTGTACCGTAAATATGTTTTCGTGACTGACATATTATGTGGTCTCAGTTAAATAACGTGTTACTTCCACGGCTGTTCTGAAGAAAAATATTTTTTTTTTAAATCTCGTCATATTTACGTACGAGACTTGTCGTCGGATGAAAGTGTTTACGCATCAATTCCAATTTTTTTTTTTCCAGAAGATGACGCTTCGCTAAGTTTCAGTAAATCGATTGTCATGCGACCTTACTTAGGAACGACGGTAAGTGATTTCGCCTTTGTGTCATCTGCCGACGTGTACACACACAGCAGAGATTTGATAAACGCCGGTGCGAGGTGCTGATGCTATTTCATGCTGTGTTTGTTTGATCAATGCCTTGGCATCTTAGTGAAATAACAGCATCAGTAATGACTTTATACTTAGAGGCGTAATATTAATTTACTGATAACGTTTGTTGCAAAACTGAGCGAAGGCAATAGTTCTGTCATGTACGTTAGTTATTGAAAAATGTAGTCTTTTAGTTTGGAGCAGCGGGAACTGTTCTTTCAACAATTTTTGGCTATAATTTAACCTGCGATTTTAAGGACGCATACTTATTATTTATAACATATTATAGCATGTTATAAACATCAAAACATTCTCACAACTTTAAATTTTTTTTGACATGTGATCACGGAAGTTTATTCAATTTTTTTTATATGTGTACAATAAATTTTGCGTTTTTAAAATTGTCCGCCAATTTATGGACATATGTTTCTATATTTATTTTCTCTGATTTTTTTCATACATAATTTCGGAAAATAAATTAATAAAAATAAAAATTAGGAAGTGAGGAAATTAGAACGACGAAAGTGACTAGACGGAATCAGGGGAGGTAGGGGAGGGAATAATGGGAGTCCCCCGTGGGTTTGGCGACCGATCGAAGCTGGGCATAGCCCCTAGAAAGACGATATTTTTCCATGCTTTCGACTCTTTTGACGTAAAATATTTTTTATTCTTTTCACATTGGTAGAAGTAACTGCGTACCTTGGCATCTCCTCAGCATTCACTGTTCTTTAAACTAAGCGACAAGCAAGGACACGCGTAGGCCTCGGCTTTCTGACTGAACTTCAATCGAAATTACGGATCTGGTAGGTAAATTGTTTTATCGGATCATTTAACGGTCCTCAGAATTACCCTGAATGAAATCTCCTTGACAGCAGAGATAAAATTGTTTGTCTTGCAGACGTAACCTCGAAGTCTGTGACGCGGTGAACCCCCACGCGTGATTCCAGAACCTTCTAAATAATGTCTGTGGACTGCCAGTCTCTTTCGGGACCAATGTTTTATGCGTCACCTAATGGAACATGTTTTGAAGTTTACAAAATCCCCCGGCCCTCTGTCTTGCAAAGCTAAGCATAAAACGCCTAAAGGCATGTGGTCTCTCCTTGACTACACACAAGTGATATGTCGTAAATACTTGATGTGACAGTTATGAATACTAAATTCCTGTACTATTTCTCGCCTTCTTTGTCCTGTTAACATCTCAGCAGAGAAGCTGATAGTCTTTTATCAAGTTGAGAAATTTGTCGTGTTTTAGGGAACTGTAAAATTCATTACAGTTTCAATAAAAGGCCATCATTGAATCCTATCCCGATACAATTGAATCTAATTTACACCCTCAACATCATTCCCTCAAGATCCATTTTAATATTATTATTGACGAATTTGTATTGGTCTGCACGTTTCAAGTGATCTCTTCCGTTCATGTTTCACGACCAAAGTTTCGTATCAATTTCTCTTAGTTTCCATGCGTTCTACATGCCCCGCCCACATAATATTTCTGGATTTGATCATTTTAATATTTGGTGGAGAATAAAATTTTACAAATTTCCTAATTACCCAGTTTACACCCATGCGAACTAAAAGTCAAGTCTCTGTACTGTGAGTAGTTTAAATAACGCCATTTTAAATGCTGTTAAATTAATCTAGTATTACAAATACCAAGCGTTAGTGGTATAGTTGGCATTGATTTCGCTTGAGTAAATATTTTTTCCAAATTGTTTAGATTCCTAATGCCAGATATTGACTTCACAGATTATGACACGGTGTTACGAAAGAACGTGACCGAGAAAACCTGTCAGCGGACCGCGAGTTGAGAAATGATGAGTTGAGGAATTTTTATAATTTGTGCGCCAGTCACGTGATATGGTCTTATGTTCCAGGTTGCTGAAGAGAAACCAAATATCCATCATAGACGATGACGCATTTATGAACCTGACTTCAGTTAGAACCTTGTAAGTATACGACGCACTTTTGATATCTTACCTTCAGGTTTTTTTAAGATCAAAAATTTTTCTGTTCATCTGCGTAAACCTCTTTATAGTATTACATGTCGTGTACCACACAAGGACGATACGAGAAATACATACAACATTTTGAATTCAAGAGACCACATGGGTAATCTAGGCGGGATGGAACAAATTGGATGTTATGTTGATTAATCTTATTTAGGACAGGGACCAGTAGCGGGCAATTTTTTTGCATAGATCAGCGACTTGAAGCTCCTGAAGAAGGCGTTTCTCCATGGGTCTGTAGTCTTCTGTTTGTATCGTGTTGCAGGGAACTTGATGACAACCTCCTGACTCACATTCCGGTGGCGCTAACGAAACTCACGTCGCTCCAAGACCTGTAAGTGAACTATTTTCCCTCATTAATATTCACGTGTTTCTTATTAATTGACTACTTACGTATCTGAGTGTAAGTGAACTATTTTTCCTCATTAATATTCACGTGTTCCTTATTAATTGACTACTTACGTATCTGATAAGTAGTGGATTCTATTTTAGCCTGTCAGGGGCGACCAACGTCCGTCAAAGTACGCTCATACGGGGGAGACTTTGCGCGTTGCTTTTGTAATGTTATGTCTGTACTAGTATATTTGAAACTGAAGACTACGTATCGTAGAATGTGTGTTTATTTTTGGTTTTAGGTGGCTATCTTGACTAGCCGAGCTGCTCTGATTTTGTCAGAGTGAGTTGGTTGGTCACCCTGTTGCTAATTACTGTTTTTTTTTGTCAAATCACTGAAAAAATAATGAGTAAGTCATTTTGCTTATGTTCGGCTCTCTTTCCTGTTTCCGGAAGACGAAGTGTGGACCGTCCTTGTTCTGTTATTGTCTTCAGCTTGCTTGTAACTGACAGAACTCGGGTCCTCTTGAAGGAATCACACATGACGTGTCCCAAAACTATGGACCGATCATTCCGCCATTATTTATTTCTCATCCCGTGATCTAATCGTAGTTTTGACACCCCTGTTTGGCAGATGATAAATCTAGATGCCAGCCTCCCCCCCCCCTTCTGCTTGCTAACGCCATTAACAATTATGCCTGTCTACCTCCATAATCGAACGTGTGGATAACACCGACTTCATTTCTGGATAATAACACTTGTAATGAAATTCCATCATGACACTGTAAAGTACATTTCATGCCGTCTCTCGTAACTTTGCAGTTTTGTGCTGGGGTTAAGTTTTTATAAGGTTAATTCCCGTGGAATTACATTTTTTTTTTTTTCAAAATCTATATTAACTTATTTTATTCGTCGAGGGTCAGGCCCAATGATTTGTTTCGTAGATTACTCATTGAAAGGTCCCGTGGTTCGTTGGTCTTCCAACACTTTATTTTCCCTCGTAAAACATAACTCGAAAACGTCTTCGGAATAATTACTTACGCGAAGTCCCTTTCAGCTCCCCTCCTATTAGACTTTTCTGTATTTTTAAAACTTCCGATGCGTGTGAAACAGAATTCTTACATAATTAAACGGTTAAATGTTATAAAATTTTATTTTAATCGTCAGGAGTTAGGTTTGAAGCCCTTCATTCGCGCCCTATAAATCCTTTCGTGTTTTATCGTGTGTCTGTATGTCGTGTTCTGATGTAGCTGTAACTGATTGATGGTATGAAACCATGGACAGTACACAGCTTCAGTGTGTTAGTAACAACATGTTCAATTGTCTCCATCAATTTTAATGATGTCGTCAACACAAATTCTATTTTTTAAAAATGGATATCTCTTCCCCTACCATAAATGTTAACATGTTCAACGCATTAAAGCCGAAGTTCGTCTGTCATATTTAATCATTCAGCCCGTACCGCGAAGAAAACACCACACGTCACCATTACAAAGATCAAATGGTTAACGCTGTTTAAGGAAATAATCGCTGTTTATTCTGAGACACGCACTGCGTACCTAATATTTAAGAATCCAGTCCGTACCGCGAAGAAAACACCACACGTCACCATTACAAAGATCAAATGGTTAACGCTGTTTAAGGAAATAATCGCTGTTTATTCTGAGACACGCACTGCGTACCTAATATTTAAGAATCCAGTCCGTACCGCGAAGAAAACACAACACTTCACCATTACGAAGCTCAACTGGTTGACGCTGTTTAATGAAATAATCGCTGTTTATTGTGAGAATCATACGAAACCCCACAATATCAGTAACTCATTGTATTGTAATGATCTGAAAAGTTGGAGCGTCTGTGTGAACTTTCTTAAAACGCTTTGGAAATTAAAATAAATAGCAGAATTTACGTTCTTAATAAAATTTCTTACGCGTACGATTTAATAAACCCCTAGTTACAGAATTGAATCGTCGGTTTTAAAATAATGAAATGTATAACAGTTGAATTAAAGTCTGCGCAATAATAATAATAATATTAAAAATAATAATGACAATAATAATATCGTTTGCAGTGTTAGTGAAATGTTTCGAAGAAGTTACCTCTTTACTCCTTCCTTCTGTATAATAATGTTATATGACGTGTCTCGGTTCGTTCAACATTAGTTACCAGACTGCAGTCAACACGATGATTTTATGATGACTGCTACCGGATTCTAAGCAGCGTCACCGGACAGGAGAACCGTGCGATATATTCATGAAGAACATGAGTTTTCTTAAGCAATTATTACACCTAATCTGTTTAAGCCACCGTTTGTTTAAACATGGATCATTAATTCTGACGTAAGCATGACAGCCGGGCGCTGGAAATTTGTCGTAATCCATTCGAGTGGCCGATGAATATTCATAAACCCAGAGTGACTGAGTACATTGCGTCTGTTTGGAATACCATTTTCCTTCCTGATTATTTTAATTAGGCGGATATGTTTTAGGTCTAATTTTTTTTTTCTGTTGGGAAAAATTATAAAAACTTTGCTAATTTTATCCCCCCTTTTAGATTTTAAATGTAGATTCGGCCGGCGACGAGAGAAACTTTTTTTTAACTTTTTCGTTTTCCAATATGGCTTACGGAAGAGTCTCTGAGCGTGATTCTGTGTCCGTTTTATAAATAACGGCGTCACATAGGACGTGGACTTCGCCTAGTGAAATCTGATTCAATCGCAACAGCTGATTCCACGGAGTTTAAAGAAGCTAGTAGTCGCTCAGCTTGCCAATAAATTCTTTCGTGTGTCACCGGTTCCCACTCTGAGCCAGATGAGTCCAATCCGTATCCACACACCTCGATTCCTTAAGAAGCTTTTTAATATTACTTCCCATCTATCCTTATTTCTACAGTGTGGTCTTTTCTATTTTCGTGAAGAGAAAGGAGAATTGATAAAATTATATTATGAAGAATTTAAGAAATATTAACTTTTGTTTAACCAAATATTTTGTAGTGATTACATGAAGGAGGATGAAAAGGACATGTAGCACGCACCGGAGAGGTGAGAATTGTTTCAACATTGTAGCAGTTTTCAAATTTAAGAGTAGATGGGAGGATAATATTAAAATGTATCTTAAAGATTCTCCCTTACTCATAAAAAATTGCGAGAGTGGAGTATAACTTGTCATCAGCCTAATGGTAAGTCTTTGAACAATGTATTGGATGTCATCTGTGCAGGTCGCTGTCCGGGAATCGAATTAAGTACATCCCGAGTGGAATTCTGCAGCAGTCTCCCGGCTTGACGTTGCTTGAACTTAAAGGGAACCCCTTGATGGGCGTCCACCCGCACGCGTTTTCATCTCTGCCCAATCTGCGCAAACTGTAAGTGTGTGAGCGCGTGGGGTTAGTGTTAAGTGAAATTCTGACACTCGCGTGTTGCACTGTTTATGCTCTCTGACTTAATGTTAGACTGATCTAACGACTTTTTACAAATATTTTGTTCATAAGGTAGTATATTTGCGTCATATTGTGAATTAGGTTAATATTTAATATTTTCCGTCAAATCACAATTTTAATAAGATATAAAATATTTAAAATATCATTTCACGTTCCGCATCGAATGATCGATTTACAAATTGGATTTTTTCGTATTTGTTATCTCGTTTGGAAAGGAAATCGTAGATAGCAGCATAAGTAGGTTTTGAATTTCACACGGCGTTCGGTACATGGGGCTACAGCCCTGAAGATAGCCATCTTCCAACTTACATCTTGTAATATACTTTTTATACATTAAAAGTCATTAAGCAGATAAAAATAAACCATAACAGAAAGGGTAGTCATGAAGACGTATGTTTTAATCAAACACGCAACTTGAAAAAAAGAATTGGATAATTCTTAAGTTGCGTGTTGACTGATAAAAACATTTTAGCTCATTTCGTATTTTATGTTGACGAAATGTTTGCGTTATTTTTGAATGAAACGGTTTCAAATTCACAGGCTCGTTGTCAGGATTTCAAACGTTTTAGTTTCAAGGTTGCCGTTAGGTGGTACTAGTTACAGACCTCTAGCTCCATCTCTGAGAGCTCTAGAGAACTTGTTTGAAGCAATACTAAAAGTTTCGTAAGCAGTGCAACACTTGTTATTATACGTATTTTGCTTTTTTCAATAATTAAGACATAAACAAACATAAATTTAGCAATACTGGACAATTATATTCGGCAGAGATGTGATATCAGATTGTTATACAGCACTACAAGTCATTAAAATGGCAATTTAAATGGCACCACAACCTTTTTGGCTGAAAGATGACGAGACAAACCCATAAGATGTTGTTCACATACGTGAAAATTTAAAAAAAACACCTGAACTATAGACAACTTTACTCGGTTCTTCTCGGTCAGCAATTACGAGGTGAGGTTTTGAATTAAGAAGGAGTTTAAGAAGAAAACAGAAGAGGTGGCCTAATACATGATGATGATGATGATGGTGGTGGTGATTTGATATTTGAATTTGAGGTTATTGCAGTCTCCCAACAAGGTGTCTGTAAACCGAGAACCGAGTCAGGTACCCGTTTGCGAGACACCTGTTCCTACGCTATGACTGATGTGGTGTCATGTCACGCAGAATCCTATCTGACGCGAGGGAGCTGGACGTGTTCCCGAGTCTGAACGGAACAGCATCCCTCGAAGTCCTGAAGCTGGACCGCTCGAGTCTCAGCGCTGTGCCGTCATCACTGTGCCACACGTGTCCCCGCCTCAAGAGTCTGTAAGTGTGTTTCGTAGATTTAATTACCCGAGCACCGCAGTATAATCTTTTTAATTATGTGATATGATATTTTAGTTTTTATTTCAGATAATAAAGAATTACTTTGTCCATCACTCACTTCTGTTGTCTGAGAATGTTTTTGTAATCATTCAGAAAAAATATTTTTAAGCCCAAAATATGTTTTCGGCCGCAAAGTACCATAATTTTTCCTTTTCCTTGTTTTAAGTTGTCGCAAAAGCTGATTTCCTTGATCAAGTATAGAAAAGCAGTGTCACCTTGAAAATATCAACCCTTATTGCTGTATCAATCGCAAGCACTGTAGAGGTAAGAATAATTTGTAGCGCGATGAAAGAGAAAAAGAGACTTTTAGAGATTTTCTTGTTGTGTTGGCAGAGATATGAAATCAAACAAGTTAACCAAAGTTCCAGAGCTGGGCAGCTGCAAGGATCTGCGAGTGTTGTAAGTACCTGGAGTTTTGCCACCTCGAGGCACATCTAGTTCGATAATGGGGGGTTACACACCGTCTCCAAAAACTTTTAACTTCACAGAAGTGTTTTTCCACTATCACAGTTCATTAATGAAACGAAACACTTCCAGTGACAAATATAATTTGCTCAGGAAAGTGTATTTTGTACTTGGTTTTATTCCAGAACAGAAATTGAGTTTCTAACAACTAAAATTAATGTATATAACTGCTAATGTAGCTGTACTTCTTAATATGCAACATTTTTATTTTTGTTTCTTCACAGGGACCTTGCCAGTAATCAAATCGATAGCCTGGAAGGAAATCCATTCAAGGGCCTCTCATTACTGCATGATCTCCTGCTCTGTAACAATGTTGTACGGACAGTGCCGAAAGATGCTTTCCACGGTCTGCCTTCACTGCAGGTCTTGTAAGTCTTTAACAAGCAAATATTGCATTCCATACACAATGATTTAGGATCAATAAATACCAGAGATGAATTCCAGCTAATATTGGGTTAGGAAATGTACCGAAGGAAGTAAAGTTCATGGTATGAGATCACACAACTACTGTCATTCTGTAGTTCACTGTACAATATGTTGTCTTATTTATTTTTCACAATATTTATATAAATCTTTTATTTAACTTTCGAAATTCACCCTCGAAATTGCACAACTCTGTTTTCTATCAGATGTTTAATGGATGTGCTAAAGTGGGAATTGTATTGAATTGAATCTTGTGATACCCTCCGTGGGAACCACCTCGCACAGAACTTCGTAAATCACAACCGTTCCAATAATCCGCACACACACTGGCTTCTGCAGTGTCCAGTCGGAGTGACAATTATTTCACAGTTATGCGTCTGTCCGCCACGATCATGTTGTTCACCCTCCCAAACAAACATTAGCCTCCCGGCTGCACGTCAAATCTAGAATGTTTGCATTTCCACCTTCTCCTGATGTTCGTTATGCCCCTGCTGCTAACTTTGCTGCCATCGACAGTATCCTCCCCGTACACCTTCTGAAATCGCTTGTGGATGTTTCCCGTTGTCTCGTCCTCATACACCAGCAACTCGATAACAGCACGTTGTTTATTACGAACAAGGACAGCGGCCATGTTGAACGAATGATACACGTGCGCTACTTGCGGGAGAAGTTTGAACTAACTTATAACAGAAGAGGGACGAATGCGTCTGTTCTTTTGTGTGAATAGCAAGCTATGTTATTTATTTTACAGGGATCTGGAGAACAATGGAATTCAAATGATTCACCCTGAGGCATTTTTACCTTTCACTCAGCTTGAAGACCTGTAAGTATTCTGTAGAGAATGTTTATTTTACTTGAAAAGAAAAACTGATCGTTTGGAAATTTGTTAGATTATTAATCTTTATATCGTGTGCTAGGAACTTGGGTAACAACTTATTCCCGGTGCTGCCGCCACGTGGTCTTGACCGACTTCTGCACCTCAAGACGTTCAACAATCCGAACTTGCGGGATTTTCCTTCACCGGAACATTTCCCTCGTATCCAGAGTCTTGTGCTGTCTTACGCCTATCACTGCTGTGCCTTCCTCCCGCTCGTACCAGGAGACCATCCTGCACGTGCGAACCTTCAGGAGGCCGTGCTCTTCCCCGGGAATAATCAGTTCGATATGTCCCTCTGGAATAACAGCCTCACTGACATCTGGCCTCAGCTGCGTAAGTCCCGACCGAGGAGTCGGTCTTGAAAACGTAATGGACGATCAGCTGATCTGGAAATGTCTTGCCTCTTGTGGAATTAAAAGTTTTATTACCATCTTTGCACTGGACCCTAAACCTTAGCCAGTTGAATCCTATCATTTCCCATAAGATCCATGATTTTCCTCAACTTTATGTTTGTTTTTGTACGAATGGACTTTTATCGTGTTTTGAAATTTGTCGATCGTCGAAGACGACGGAATTAACTGTATTTATGAACGAGAAACGTCTGAAATTTGGAGTATAGAATAAAATAATGGAAAATCAGAATTTAAAGCTTTTGAATCACGTAAAAAAAAATTTCTAACTGTTAAAAAAAATTTAGATCTCGAGTTTGAATCACGTAAAAAAAAAATTTAACTGTTAAAAAAAATTTAGATCTCGAATCTTATCGTGTCCAATATTGGTTGGCGTCTTGTTAATATGTCGACGTTTCGGGCACTGTTTCACTTCAGAAAAATCATTTCTGTTGACAGAAAACCTGAGTCAAAAGTTCGGGACCCAAATTAATAGCATGTGGGATGATTTTGGGTCTGACTTTACGTACCCAGGGAACTTGCCGGCCTACATCGAGGAATACTTCGAGGACCAGGAGAACGCGAAGGTGGCGGGAACCGACGCCCCGCCCGGAAAAATCGCCTGCCTGCCTCTACCAGGTGAGATAACATTAATATAATTTTTTTTTTTTAAATTCTTCGAATTTCTTCCAAAAATTTGTAGGGACGCGTAGACGCGGCGATAAACGTTAGACCTCCGTTTATTATCAAAATAAAGAATTAATTAACTTTCCCGGTGCATTTAGCCTTTATTATCCTTGAATTTTGTTTGACCTTGAAATACAAATTTGAATTGGTGCCTGTAATATAGGGATTTAAATCGACTGTTGTCTACGATCTACGTTAAGTGGACCGAGGACGTTGTCTCTGAGGTTCACGAAGCTTTGTCCATCGTCAGGTCCGTTCCTGCCGTGTCACGATCTGTTTGATTGGTGGACGCTGCGATGCGGGGTCTGGGTCGTCTTCCTCCTCGCCATGTTGGGCAACGGCACCGTCGTCTTCGTACTCATCTTCTCGCGAAGCAAGATGGACGTTCCTCGATTCCTCGTCTGCAACCTCGCGGCCGCTGACTTCTTCATGGGCGTCTACTTGGGTGAGAGACTTCGCGTGATATAAGAATTCATTCCCTCGTTTAAACTTCGAGGGAGAGTAAAAAAAATATATAAAAGTAACGCTGATAGCATTGAAATATGTAATGGTTGTAAAATTGTTGAAATTTCCTCATTTGCATTTTTTTTTGAGTTGTGGTAATACTGTAGCGCGTTTAATGACGGCGCTGATCTGTTTCTTGATTTTGGTTGTTGGAAGACGTGAAAATTAGTGGGATTTACGGGAAAAGGAGAGGTAAGTTTTGATGAGTGAGCCAGAAAGAAGTTTACGAATGAGCGGGAATATTACGCGGACGACGAGAGAGTGGCAAGACTCTTCACCAGAATTTTTTTTTTGACAATTGGATCACACCGTAGGAAGAAATGTGTTAAAAAGCATTGTGATTAAAGCCGTGCATGGAGGGCAAAGGGTTAAATCATATTTATAATTTTTAAACGGGTATAAAATTAATAGGACAGGACTACTAAAGTCACTAAAGAACTGACGTAAAAAATTATATCAACAGATGTCTAAGGTTTCTTTTTAAAAAAATTAGACGGCCAAATTAAAAATTGCGGAGAATTACCCGTCAAACGAAAATACAATTACAGATCGAGGGAAGGAAATGAAAGTTTCTGTTTTGAACTGTCGGAATTCTTCTCGTGCTGTGGTCGTCTTGTGTTTTTGTGTATCCGGTGGGGAGTAATTCCGGACAGATGCTCTCCAAAAGTCATGGCAAATTGTTTTGTCGCCGATTCGCGACGAAACGCAGTTTTTACCATCAGCGACGACCTATATTTATATCAACAGTTATCTCTCTTGATTTCGTCGATGTGAGCAATTCGTAATACTTGATTCGAAATTTTCTTACTCGAATATATTTTTATGTCTCTCAAAGTGACTGATAATTGCTCTGTAGAGGCAAGATTTTTCGTGGAGATGAACACACTTATGACGAAATAGCAACTTTAATCTCGTCTCCAACTTCAGTGCGTCTTTAAGTTTTTTGGATCCTGATCGGTCCTGTGGATTCACTGTGATGAAAATCCAATTTTTAGACTACAGGCAGCCCAATAATTATCACGCAGGTTCAATAGACATGACGTAATGTTATCCGTTATGCGTCCATTCTGTATATTTCGTGCAAGATTGCGTAAAAAAAAAACTAAGCCTTGTCATATTTTAACAAAAATATTTGTCACACGTACGGATCTGTTACTGGACGTAACATGAAAATCGTACGTGTGTCGTTCTGTGGAGGGTAAATCCGCAGTCGACTTCGGTAATTCAAATAAAATGTGCAGGATTCCTCGCCGTGGTCGATGCGTCCACGCTGGGAGAATTCCGGATGTACGCCATCCCGTGGCAGATGTCCGTGGGCTGCCAGTTGGCCGGCTTCCTGGGAGTGTTGAGCTCGGAGCTGTCGGTGTACACTCTGGCCGTCATCACCCTGGAACGCAACTACGCCATCACCCACGCAATGCACCTCAACAAACGTCTCTCCCTCAAACACGCGGGCTATATTATGGCCTGCGGTTGGAGTTTCGCCGTTGTCATGGCTTTACTCCCGCTCTTTGGCATTTCTGACTATCGGAAATTCGCCATTTGCCTCCCTTTCGAGACGACAACGGGTCCTGCCAGCCTCGTCTACGTCGTGTTCCTCATGTTTATTAACGGTGTAGCGTTTCTCATTCTGATGGGATGTTACCTCAAGATGTATTGCGCAATTCGAGGTTCCCAGGCTTGGAACTCAAATGATTCGAGAATAGCGAAAAGAATGGCCCTCCTAGTCTTCACAGACTTCATCTGTTGGTCTCCGATAGCGTTCTTCTCTCTCACGGCAGCATTTGGCCTGCAGCTTATATCCCTAGAACAGGCGAAAGTATTCACGGTCTTCATACTGCCTCTTAATTCGTGCTGTAATCCGTTTCTTTACGCGATCCTCACGAAACAATTCAAGAAAGATTGCGTCCTGATCTGCAAAGCCATAGAAGAGTCGCGGGTGACGAGAGGTATAGGAAGATGTCGTCATAGTTCGAACTTTAGCAACCGCCAGACGCCGGCAAATACCAACAGTCTGGTGGACAGATCATCTCGGGAGCAGCAACACGGCCACCCGCACAACGCGCAGACTTGTACGTGCAGCACGAAACTGTTGAATGACGGGAACGCGGCAGCCGCGACCAGGAACCGCCGACAACAAGGCGTGTCTCCGCGTCAGTGGCTGCTGCTGTGTCTCAACAGGGACAGAGAAAGTCGCCACAGACCTCGCTCGGACCAGTACGCGTACCAGATCGCCGAGATTCAGCAGAAACAGCACAAAAGAGCTTCTTCGGTGTCGTCGAGCGAGAATTTTAGCTCTTCGAGGTCGGACTCGTGGCGTCAGAATCATCATCACTGCGGTATACCTCTTCGCCTGCTCGATCCTAAGCGAAGGGGATCTTCGTGGCTCGTCACCAGAAAAACTTCTCAAGACTCAAACCTTTCGAGTTCGAGGAATGATTCCTCGGGTTCTGCGACGACTGCGAGTACCAGCACGTGGAGAATGTCGCGCTCGAGTGCCTCCAGTGATATTCGGACGACGGTAGTGTCAGTTCCTCCGGAAAGTAGCGGTTCCAGGACTCGCTCTAAGCCGCGTCTCACGAGGCAAAGCGCCATCGTCCAAGATGACTCCGACCCGCCCGGTTCTCCGGGGCGACTTACCGTCAGGTTCCTGACTACGATACCATCAGCCGCCGAGACGAGCGTTCAACAGGATGAGGAACCGGGGAGTCCTGGTGGTTGCACAGCTGCTCTTCTGCATACAAACGAGCTCTCTAACCACTCTCAGCCGTATTACGCGATCCTCCACGCCACGGCTTCCCAAGGCGACACCCCGTCCCTCCAACAAATCACGATACACACGAGTCCACACACTACGTTAGATACGGGACCCTCGCGATTTCCGTCTCGTGTACCCCCGTCCCCACCTCAATTACCTTTCCTGTCCTCCGGACTTCGTCAGCAACCCGTCACATCTCAGAGTTCGCCACAGCTAAGCTCTCTAGCGTCGGAAGTCCCACCCAGCAGCGTCGAGGACCAAACTAGTCATCCCCCGTCACCCGCTGTTTCAACCCCCCCAAGACAACAAACCCCTTCGCCGACTCAGCGAAAAACAAGTCACGACGACAATACGTGATCTTGTAAGTCGACTCTATGAGGATCGCGAGTCGTCTCCCGGATTTTGCGTGGGGATCACGCTGCCTTCACCTCACGGTCGGAGAGTGGATTAAGGCAGTGGAAATTAAGGTGGTTTACGTTTTCAGCAGATCCTGAATCCGTTAATAAAGACGCTAGTAATGACGATGATCTTGGCTGAAATGATTAAATCGAGTTTAATTTACTAATACTCGACGTCGGTATTAAAATTCTGATTTGGTTTGAATCTTGGCGTTGTCTGACGTGTTGCAGATTATATTCGATGAACGAAGTCCGCGTCAAAGTGTCTGTAGAAATTTTATGATTCCGTCTGCCTCCGGTTCCATCGTCGTAACCGGATATGACTTAATTCACGAGTTACAGCTGTCATCCTGCTAGCAGCGCGCGGTCGAATGTCCGTCGCGTGTTCGAGAGAGGTTCAAGAAAATGTTCTCTGTCGTCGTTAACGAAAAGCAGAATTGATTTTCGTCTTCTGGTGTCTGTGAGCACCGCATTTACGATATCTTACTTCTCTACGCGTTAAAAATTTTGAAAAAAAAAGTTACTTATTAAAAAAAATCGACCGTTGTTGAGAGATGTACAATTTACGTTAAAAGCAGAATTTTTTTATAAAAAGGCCCTTTGTTACTCGGAGACACTTTTTAAAAGACGCTCCAGCTAAAAAAAACTGCTGCTTTCGTAACGCAAATATTTTATACCGTAATATTTGAAGAGTCAGGGCGGTCGATATCGTAAATATTTTAAAAGTCTGTAAAATTTAAAAAAAAAATAGCCGTTAGTGTTAATTCTACTATTTATTATCTCGTATTATACGAATGTTTGTAAGATTTGCTAAGATTTGCCGAGTAGACAAATATCGAGAGAGAGAGAAATGTCTAAAGAGTATTTTCTCTGTGATTTGTAGCGTATTTCATAAAACCCGCTGTCGCTGTCAACATAAAAATTGTTCTGTGATAATATATTTAGCTTTTAAATTTTTAATACAAAATATAGTTACCAAATTTGTAAAATATTAAATATTATATCTGATATAGCATTTATTTTTCTTTATATATTACGGCGGCACGACTGAGGAAATGTAATTTCTTCATTTCGAAAATATTCTTTACTAAATAGTACCACGTGGATTATAGCGTAATAATATGTGATGCAAATATGAGATTTAAATATTCGACTATCAGTCTGTCTTGTCGGAAAGTTGAATTAAACGCGGTCACATGCGTGGAATGTGACAGAATGTGATTGTACATCTCCTTCAGCATTTAGGATGGAGTTGGTTTGTTCAAAATAAAAAAATACGTAACTTTCTCCTTCATTTCGGAAAAATTTCTTGTGTTTGAGACTTTTAGAGAATATTAACACGAAATTTCAAAGATGATCATTAATTTCTGCTGTGATTTTCGAAGTATTACTTACCCAAGTTTCCTTTTTTTAAAAAAAACACCAAACTTGCCAACCCCTGTATAACATTCTCTCTACGCGTCGGAATATAGCGATGATGAAATAATATTTTGTCCAATAGAGAGCGTGCGTTGTTCCACGACTCTGAAACATTCGATTAAGAACACGAAACAGAGCCGATAAAGTTCTGATTATTTATGTGGCAGAGGATCGCTCGCTAGAATATATTTAACGATGCTGTATGTTGCTGAAGTCTGTTCTCAGGGAAACAAAACTTGTATATATCTGAGAGGGAAGTTTTAACTTCCGGTTTCACCTTTACATGTTAAATTATGTTGCCGTTAATAAACTTCTAAGACGTGATGAAGCTATTTTGCGAGTCTTGAAGTAATTTTAAAGCATTTAATTCCTTGTAGCGTAAGAAATAGCAGAACTTTTATTTGTGACGTCAGAATGTCGTCGATACAAAATAACAGTGGAAGTCTATGTCATAATAAATTGAAGTTAGAAAGAAAATTTATTGAATTCGGCTGCCAAGAAGGTCGTTAGAATTAAAATTTAAAGGAAAGAGTACCCTGGTATGACCCAGAACAAGATGGGTCAGTCACGTACTAGAAGACGTCTGGAAGAGATTGAAGAACTGGCGAGAAATTTAAAAAGTTACGTTCTGGAAGATGTAAGAAATTGAAGATTTTTATTTGTCGACCAAAAGAAAACATTTTTATTATTATTGTTGTTATTATTGATATTTTGTAGAAACTCGAAAATTTTATGGTGAAGCAGGTGATTTCCATTTGCTGCGCGGACCACGTATTAACCGTAATAATTTTTGTTGGTACACCTGCAGACAGGGGTCTCAGGTCTTGAAAAAAAACAGTGATCTGCTGCACAGATTTTATCTAGAGAGAAAGGGAAAATAAAATATAATTCTGATATTCCATTATTTGCCGATCGACCCTCATGAAAGAAAATCTTGTCTTCGGTGCTTACTGAAGACATTTAAATAATAAAAAACTTCAGATGAGAATATAACGGAGAGTATTGAATTGGAAAGGATGTGGAAGGAAGCAGTCATGGCCTCTTTTAAGGTACAATCCCAGCATTTGCCTGGAGGGACTGAGGAAAACCACGAAGAGCCTCGGTCAGGGTATCCAGTCTATGGGTCAAGGTTTGAGACCCCGGACCTCCCGAATATGAAGCATTCGATCGGAGCCTTATTTAAAATAAACTATCTTCTGCTAACACCGTTTCGTAGTAGTAACTGTCAGAATATGGTAATTTTATTTTTAATACAGTCCTGAAGATATCTGAATCGTCAAATTTCTTCCGGCCGAAACATTTGTTGTATGTTTATTAATATAAAAACTCTAAAACATGTATTTGTCAAAATTTTCGTAACAGTTTATTTCAGTTGAATGTTTACGCCACATAACATATTCACCCAGGAAATGACTTAAAATTGCGCTATAATATAAATGCCATGACAGTATACGTACAGAGCACAGCTGATTTTATTTTTTTCTGATTATAAACAAATTTTTAAAATTCAGCTGCAGTGTAATCTTGTAGGTGGTTAACCAATATTGTGGAGGAATGTATCTCTTCCATCTTTCATCTCTACTGTGAAGATGTATGCAGCATGTTCTTTCGAAACTTTGCTAACCACCTATACTACTACATCTCGTCATAACTCAGAAGACCAGAGTCCATATTTTTACTGTGGTAAAAACTTAAAAATCTGAGTTCAGGAGCGGATATGCTGATGTTTAATTCTGCTCGTAATATTTCGTGACTCCAATACAGTAATTAATAAAATTCTTTAAAAATGGACTAGCAGAGTGGAATTATCAACTCGATCAGAACACCATTTCCTAACCGTAAAAATTAAATTATAATTCTGTGTAAATAGGGGGGGGGGAGTTTGAAGTTCTATTGTATTTAATTAACACTGGAACGCCACTGATATTTTTATACTTGTTCTAAAGTGACACATTTTTTGATAAACGGAATATAATCCCTAAGATTAGTCAGTATCAGATACTAAAAACAATTTTTTTTTTCCCGTAATTTTAATGCGTAGAGAGAGAGGAGATGAATCGGTTCTCAGTTCTGATGCAGGGAAAAGATTTCGTACTTTACCGAAAATCTTTTCTCCTGTTGTTACTGTTAATTAAATTTTAAGAGTGGTGCACTTAGACTTGGCTGTGAAGCTTAATGTGCCAGAGATATTAGACTTTGGTAGGTTGGTAACATTTTTATGATAAACCGATGAATATTCTTTGACATTTTCCTTCTAATTCCATAAATTTATTTAAAAACATGCAATGTTTCAGAAGCAAATGTACAGACACTGAACTGTTTGATCCATTGGATAAATCTTATCTTAATATCCACGCCAATCCATGGATTGAGATTGGTTTTTATCAGATGGATCCTTACGTTAGGATTTATACTCTCGTCTGATAATGGACGTAAAGTCAGCTTACAAAATTTTGCATGTTTCTAAATGATATATGAAGGAAAATGTCTGACGATATGAACCAGTTTAATGACGCACTGTCAGCAGAAAATTTAGACTAATTGTTACGGTACTTTTTTTATAAAATGTTCATATAATACTGATAATTTTTCTAAGATTAAGACTGCTAGAATTTATATTTGGCCCTCCCAATACGCGAATGGAATACGGTAATATCTGTCTGGAGGGAATTTACGAGCACTCCTGACCTATCATCGTCAGAATAGTAACTTGCGACTTCAGCCATATACAACGTCTTAAAATCACCCTCAAGTGTAAATGATACAACCCCACGATGAGTGATCAGACACGAGAAGAAATCTCTGCGCTGAAAATTACGTGTCGTAACTGCTGTACAGTAATAATTAATGTACCTATATAAATAAGCATATGTAGATATTCTACTGATAAACCGAGTGCATTATGGGTGCCTGTTCTATGTGATTTGTATAATTTTTTATTATAGAGATAAGCAGAAATAGTGTTCTCTATATGCATATTAGGTCCGCCACTGCCAAGTGGCGGACCAGCTGCCAAAATATTACTAAGAAACAATAATTAGTGGACTGTCATATAATATTTATAAATAATATAAATATGTTTCTGATTTGCTGGATGTCAAGACTTATTATAATCGCATCAGTGTTATTTAAGAAGTACCAGACATCGTGTTGTTTCATGTTTACATTTATGGATTAAAAAAAGACGTAGTTTAATTTATATTAAAATGTGTGTGATTACTTTAATCTTCCTGTCCACATTCAGCGTGAATTTTTTTTATTGGTCCTGTAAAGTCATACTCTTTGATATTATTTGTAAATGTAATTTACAAGGCCTTGTCCTCTCCTAAAAATAATTTTAATTGAACAAAATAATGAAGTTCTGAGTCAAATTTTGAGTTCGCTAACTCGTCCAAGTTCCCTACGTCAGTAGCCAAATCTATGAAACAAACAAACAAACTTCATTAATATAAAAATGACAATCTGTATTAATTACAAAAAAAAGTAATATTATGTACCTTTCCCCTTCTTGTCCCGCCACAGTCTCGTAATTCAATGGCTACAAATTTACGTGCACAGATTCTTTAGAAGACAAAATGGAATTTTGCCGCTGGTTTACGATAAAGTTATCGCGAGTGTGTGTGATTACCGAGCTCTGTAATTCAACTTGGATTTGAGTTACATTCATTACGTATTCATTAAAGTCACATATTACCGTCATTCAAAATGAAGTTGCACATAATTGATATAGGTAAATTAAAATAATATTTTCTTTTTAATATAAAAAAAAAATTCAGGAATTTGGATATGCAAAAAGTGATCAAGACAACTTACCATAACGTATTTTTTTTTGTTACTGGCGTTGTGTTAAAGTTTGCGTCTACTAAATTTTTTTAAAGTTATTTTTTGACAAATTCCTTGAAGAAACTTCTTCAAGTCTTTGGAACTAGACTGCCATATTTTGATGACGTGGAAAATTCTATATTGTATATTTGTAGGGTGAAGTTTTATATAATTTCTTCTTTTATTACATATCACAGTTTATAAAATATATAATTAGTCATCTTAATTGCCAATATATTTTAATTTTTAAAATTTTTCTTTGTAGAATGTGAATCTTTATATTCTGGGGGAAAAAATTTTCATTTTAGATTGGTTACAGTTACTTTTAATTAGTATATAATGGAACTTAAGCCATTAATGACTATTGTATCTGATGTAAATATGATATTGTTTGTGCTAACTACAGAAGTAATACCTAGGTATTTCTTGAAGAATGAATGACTCGTCTCGCGGAAGTTCATTCATTGAAATGTCCTTTGTTTCAACAGTTCTCATAGTGACGGTCTGGTGCTGTGAGGATGTGAAATTGTAATTGAGGGCGCCGGTACGATGGTTGAGGTAGTCGTGGTACAGGTTTGTGTAATCACGGCGTCAGATTCGGATCTGCGCGTCTCCCTCGCACGTCTCAATTTCTTTTCCTTCGCTCTCTCTCGACCTGCCCTCCAAAATTCCTCAAACTTGGAATTTATGTCCTGTTCAGATTTGCTGGCGGCCCCAGCTGACGGCTCGGTCATCGGACTTTCTTCAATGTTTTCCTCGTCTACTTCCTGTAAGATACACGGAGATACATTTCAGTAATCAACTCGCGTGTTATGTGTTACAGGGATCAGTGTATAAATCCATGAAAAAGAACCTTCTTTCGAAGCTGATAGTTACTCAACTGATCATCTTTACACCAGGCCACAAATGATTCATAACCTAAGCCAGATTAATCCAATCAAATCCCTCACAACCTATTTCGTTCACTTTCATTTTGATGTCATACTCACATCTCCAATTAAGTCTTGCAAATGTTGTCTTTCAATCAGATTTTTACATAGAAATATTGTGCGCGTTTCTTATATCCCCCATGCATGCTAAATTCTCCGCCAATCTCACTTTTAAAACACTTTCCCATCACGTCCACATGGCTTCGTAATACCTCGTCATACTTTGATTTTCTTTTAACTTTATAAAATGATAAAGTTGCGTCATATTGTGATAAATATATATTTGTTTAAATCTTGTCAGTCTAATCACAATAAAATTCCTATTAAATATTAAAATATTACCATAATTAACATTTAAATATTTAAAATATATTAAATGATATTCTCTATCGAAATGTTCGATTTACATTAGAACATCACTTTTTTTACACGACATGTTTCAGTTCTAAAAGAACCATCTTCAGGTGTATAAAATTATATAAACTTAAATATAACTTTATAATTTTCCAAGTGACCTGCAGAAGATTTCGAACATGCAAATTATGATATTGATCTTAGTACAGTGGCAGGTGGTGTGCGGTACTCCGCAGAGTACACTTACCTTTATCTCAGCGAAAGTGACTGGCTGTGTACGGTACCGTCCTCCAGACTCGCGGTGCATTTGTTTCCGAACTTGGCGGCGATGAAGCCGGGACCATGGCTCCGGGTAAACTGCGTCCATCCCAGCTACTGACAGACACAGAAACAAAGTTATAAGTGCCAACAACATCACCATTTTTGTGCTAAAGGTTAGAAATGCGTGGAGTAAAATCCCCACGTTCGGCAGACGTCATTATAATTTAATGAAGATGGATGTCTTCTGGGTTTTTGCGATCGCCCTGATGATGGAGGCAGAAAGGACCTCTGAAACGTCTGTAATTTTCCACTAGACCACGCGACGCAACATCACAGAAGACGGCAATCTTCAGAGTCAAACTCCAAATCCTACAGATGGTGGGAGATCAATCTTAATCTTATCTGACTTTAGTTCGGGAGACATTCTATTTTAATTATTTAATGGTTGTTTAACGGTTTATGATGTTGCGCGTCGCCTGAGGCATATTTAATGTACACGGCAGTACGGAACTTTGTTGTTAACGCAATTACACATGTTTCAGATATTTATTGAAAAACATCCTGAGGACAGGAGTATAAAATACTCCCGAAACATTGAATATATTACACATGTCCAGACAATGTCTGACACTTTCCATGTTGCGACTGTTCTGAATTTTTAATTTATGCATGTATTTGTTTGTTTATTGTTCATTTAATGACTATCAGTGACAACCCATTTCGCTTCGAATGATGGGATGATTGATTAATGAGAGAAGAGGATGTGGAAGGAAGCGGTCGTGGCCTGATTTGAGGTTCTATCCTCGAATTTTGTTGGAGAAACCATTAAAACCCTTAGTCAGGGGAGCCTGTCTTCGAAAATAGATTTGTAGCCGCGGTCTCCTGAAAAATATGTAGAAGTTTTAACAACTTGGCTTGTTTCTTGATTGTCCTCAGTTGCCACAGATGTCGGTGTGGTCGAGGGTCCGTTTCCGCCATGATTCTTTTCAGTGACTCAGCATAACACAGAGAGACAAAGCCGCGGATTCAGAAACTTTGCTTTTGTGGACGCCATGAACCAGTCAGTACGAGGGAACCGTGTAATCGACATCTTTGATCATCTCTCGAGCCAGTCTGGAGCCGAGCCACGGCCTGACGTCACGAGGACGTTAACCTCACGTGCGTTATTGGGGAATTGTGGGATATTTTGAAGTCCGAACGTCTAAATTGCGTCTTGTGAATGATCGAGCTTTGTTGACGAGTTAGCCCGGAAGTTTTACGCGCATTTAATGTTTCGAAATTGCAACGAGCTGTTTGCTTAATCTTTCCTTGTCATGGTTTTCCTTTCGCCATCCGTCCTCATTTGTCGCTTAATTTCATTCTCTGTTTTATATTTTTAATTCTTAATTTACTAGATGTCAGCACGTGAAAATTATTATCTAATTCATAAACTGGCATAAAAACTTAACCAATTAAATCCCAGTGGTAATAATTTTCATCACCTCCCTCAACATTCACTAACTCTGTATTTTGCCCACATAATATTTTTTTTTTGTGATTCTCAGAATAAAAATTTCTTATTTCCTTAAACATCGAAAATCAGTTGATATTTGTAATTGAGACGTGTTGTGGCGCCTAAATTTTTACGTATTATTTGTAAGAGCTTCCGGTTCAAAGTAGTTGCAACAGATGGCAGCATCTGAGTCGATACACTTAAAACGTTACGTTCTGGATCACATATTTCCTAATATTAGAGGCCAGACCATAAATCCTTCTGAATTGCTTGATAATCCAAGTCTTAGAGATTTCTTGAAGGCGTCCGTCACAACACGCGAGGCGTGGAGCGACGTATAATAATAAATAGATGGTACGCCCAGAATAATTCAATGCCAGCGTCTTTTACCTTACGTTTAGGACCAAAGATTTGCAATAAAACACGTTCGTATTTGCTAATGCTTACTGTACGCATACACTGCATATGTTATTACGTATTTATTTCAGTCATAGAACTGTCTATAATATGACATTTTTAAAACCATAACAACAGTTCATACTGTAGCATAATTATGAAATATATGACGCTAACATAGCAAAGTATAAAACGATTTATATAACTTTTGAGTCGAAATTTTAAATCAAAGCAAGTTTAAGAATTCACAATAAAAGTGGAATGTATTTACGAGTTAATAATGCTCTCAGCTAGTCAAGAGAATCCATTCTTTTTATGGAAGCAGGAGGTTCATTGCCACGTTCACAACAGCCCGCCGTTGGACCCTATCCAGAACCATAAGACGGAAACCGTCGTTCGAAATGTCTTAATAACGAAGAAGGAATTTTAAAAAAAAAAGTTTTTCAGATCACTGACGTATGGTTATCACGTGACAGTTTTAACACTTTAAAGGGCGAATCTCATAAATATTATATTTAAAGGCGCTGATTATGCCTTCGAGAAAAACACAAAACTACCGTTAAAAATACGTGAATTTTAATTATATTTATGAAAATGTTTGCTGCTTAGTTTGAGAGCCAAATGAAACCTATAAATAGTCTCTGATCAACATGCAGACTTACGAAATGAAAGCAGGTGCCATATTTACCGACTTGTGGTGCGATCTCCCGAAGTGAATTATAATATTTTAAAAGAAAAAAGACACACACACACACACGCAAAGTGATGATAACCACTTACGTTTTGAGACGTGGAAGTAGAATCCGTCTCTCTGAATACACAGGGCACAACACAGTCGCTCTAAGTGTGTGTGAAGACTTTATAACACAATGAAATATCATATGGACAGCGATGTTCCAAACTTCGCTGTAATGTCTGTCCCGATATCCAACTGCGTCTCTCTCTTAAGGTCTGCACTTTTAACACTCTTTTAACTATTAACACATTGCCGTAACAGGTCCGTCATTTTGTTGGCTCGTAAGATATTTTTTTTAAGAGCAGAAAATAATACAGAACACTCGTACAAATCTTCAGTGTATCACCTTTAAAATATTTAAAACGTAAAACTGATTCAAGAATAGTTTAAAATAAGAATACGAAAGACAGATAAAATATTTTTTTTAAAAAAATATGCTTATTTTTTTAAGATAATTCTTAAAATAAGTGGAGAAAAAAAACGAAATTATTGAAATGAACAGAGTACTTTCTCCTGGCTTGTGTTACTTTGTGACTACATTTAAGCACTGCTTCTCACTGACTGCGTCTTTAGAATCTCTCTCTGTCTACTGTTTCCATGACGCCGGTTCTGTGTCTATTCTGGGGCAGTCTTGCTTACGAGCGCGATAAACTGCAGTGGTAAAATCATAGGCACATCTTCACTCCGAAACAGAACACACGCACACCAACCATTAATTACGCGGTTGCCCAAAAAATTTAAATAAACAAAGGCACACTTCCTTGAAAACGAGGGCAATGGAAAATTCTACTGCATCGTTCACCAGACTTAAACAGGAAATACGGACGATTTCGCGGTTTAAACACGCTCAGAATTTCTTAGAAAATATTTGCGGATGAATACAACACAGCCACGATTTGTAAACATTACGTCATTACTTGTACATCTTCCGAAACTATTTTTCGTGTTTCGCATTATCAAATCAAGGAGGAAGAGATTGGCGGGACATGTGGCACGTAAGCGAAGTATATTTTGCATTTACAGCGTCGGTCGGAATATTAACGTGCGTAGTTGCGTGGATAATATTAAAATTAATCTTAGAAGCAGGATTGGATTCATGTGGCTAAAAATAGGGACCGGTAGCTGGCTTTTGTGAACACTCGGATAAACTTTCTGTTTTAATAATATCCTGTTACTTTATCGACCAGAAAAAACGACTATCAGCTTTTAAAATAAATATTCTGTAGAGATAATTAAGATAAGGGTAGATGTAAGACACTGAATTGAACAATAACAAATGTTTCCAAAAAATTGGCCGTGTCCCGTTCGTCAAACTACTCCATCTTTTGTCCGGGAGTGGCTGAAGAAATTCACGAAATTTCTTAGACAAAATAGTTCGGTTTGCGTCGCGAGATTATTTAGGGTTTAAATCTCTAAATAATAATTAATCGCGTTTATTTTAATACGTCATGTGGTCTCGGGTGGTTCCGTATACGCCAAGAAGAATTTTCAGGGTGAAAATATGTTTAACATTGAGAACAATGTATTTGTTGCTTCAGTGTGACTGCAGTAAAGCTTTTCCACGTTCGTCTCGATCCATCGCAACTGCAGACTCCGCGATGTATTTTTGTCGGGTTCCAGGAATGAGGTTGGCCACCGGTCGCCTTCGGCTTTCACCCGCGATAGTTCAACGTTTTGTAAGACTGCAGTGTTTCTCATAATCGTAGGGACCTGACAGCATTCTGGAACATGTTTGTAAAAGCAGGGCTCTTAAAAAATAATTTTGGATCTTAGGGGGACAAAGTAACAGGGGAATCAAACAAAATTTCGTAGTTGAAGAGCTTCGTAGGTAGATATTATTATTATTATCCTATATATTCACCATTTTACAGGGTATTTACTTCCATATACCTGAGAAAAACCTTGTCCCTGAGGTACATAGTGCAGCAGCTATTTCCAAAATACATTTCTTTTACGTGTATTATATAGACCAGTGGTATTCAACCTTTTTTGTTCGCGTACCCACAGATATAATTTCTCTTCAACTTTGTACCCTCAAAGTTGTTGGTGTATAATTCAAGTTATACATAGTATATAATCTACATCTAAAATAAATTAAATAAATTACATTACTGATTATTCAGTGTTTATCATAATTTTTTTTTAAAATTTCACGTACCCCGGGGGGTACGCGTAAACCAGGTAGAATACCACTGACATAGATGACTACGTATTTTACGACAGCGTCTTTCGAATGATGTATGAGGACCCTAAAATGGCAGTTTTCTGAAGTTATCTGATGTTGTGTTCGCCCGGGATGTTGGCCAAATTTATTATTATATAAAATCAGGTAGTATAAAATCGGCTGGTTGTGTAGCACGCATGGGAGATGTGAAAAATTGCTCACAGATTTCAGTCGGTAAACCAGAAGTTCCGAGAAACGTCACCGACTTTTATACTGTGTGAAAAATTGGCTAATTCGTCTGCTTTGCTTGTTCCTGAAAGTCTCAGAACGTATCCGACAATGGACAACTTTCCTGGAAGTCTCTCGAATTGTACTTGTTGGTGGCCGGTGGAGTATATTTTTTCCCAGTCGCCCGTCCACAGACTCGATTATCATTCGTGAGTCCTTCGGTTCGGATTTTACGTCATCAGCAACCAAATAAACCATCTCTGCTTGATGTCAAATATGAGGATCTCAAGACCGTCTCATAAAACTTTATATGAGTTTACGACGAAGCTGAAAGGTTTTCCGCCTCAGCGAATATGCGCTGGTTTGTAAGGACCGCTGTGTTATCCTGAATGTATAGAAATGTTATCATAATTCACTGCATTGTTATCACCTCTGCATTTTGTGTATTTGTTCCGCCTCGTAGCTTTTGAAACTGTCGGTGGTTTTTCATGAGATTTAATCAGACCCCAACAATAACTACTTCGTAAAATCCATTAACCAATTGTTGTAATGGAGACACGTCCTGTTTTCTTTTGAAAAAAAATAACTGGATTTTTAAACGTTATTCAGATTACAGGTAGCTTGAAACGGACAATGGAAAAAAAAAAGTCTGAAAATACCACGTGCGAAACCTTATCCAACAATAAGCTCAGTAGCAGGGCGGGCCAGCTATTTTTACTCCTAACCTACCAGTTGCTTGCCACAATCGATGTGAATCTTCGCTGTTTTCCAGTAACACAGCAGTTCTTGGGGGGAGCACATTAGGAAAACCACGTTGAAGTTTTATGTACGCGTTGGTACTAACAAACTTATCATCCACGTAAGAATTTGTTTTAGTCGGTTCACGTTTTGTGATCACGTACCTTCATGAAGCCCGAAACTCGTCTGAATAACTTATATAACAATTCAGTCCGTACCGCGAAGAAAACACCACACTTCACCGTTTAATAGATCAACTGGTTAACGCTGTTTAAGGAAATAATACGACTAAAACGCTAATTAACCCTTTGGAGCCGAAGCTCTTTCAAATGAAACTTAAGAATTCAGTCCGTACCGCGAAGAAAACACCACACTTCACCATTGCAAAGATCAACTGGTTAACGCTGTTTAAGGAGATGGTTTCTATTTATTACGAGAATCACATGGACGTATTTAAGCAGACGTACAACATGACGCAAAATCTTTCTTGAGAAGCTGACAGTAGCTGCCCTTTTACGAAATCCGTGACTTTATTTCCGTGTTCACAAGAGCCCGTCACCGGCTCGTATTCTGAGCCAGATTAATCCAGTACACGACCTCACACACACCATTTATTCAAGAAAATAAATCGTATTAAACTCGAATTTGCTCATAGGTCCTGAACATGGTCTCAAACACGAATTGTTTCCGGTATAAGACAGTTTTGACGGGTCAAACACCAATTCCCACAGCCATTCTGTTACGGCCTGCGCGTACGAATTGCGATAGGACAAGGACGTCTTGAACTGCAGCGGTATTTCGGGAATATTTTAGACCAATTTGCGGATAGCCTAAAGTCAAGTCTCGTGGATGCATGCCATATGAAGGAAATGAGCTGTTTCTTATTTGTGAACACGAAGGGCTACGACGATGTATTGAACAGTTTCGAGATGCATTTCGCTGGTTCATTTTATATTACGTAACAGTGAGATATCCACTTGTTATTTTGTTCATTAACATTCGTAGATTGTCAGATGTTTCGAGTTACATGGAAAGAAGTCACGAGTGTTTATTTCTTCTACAAAGCATTTTAAAGACTGATTTATGTGATATAATTTTGGGCAATTTAAAACACGATAATCACTGAAAATCATGATGGAAATTATACTAATGTACCCCAGTCTGAGTCTGCTTGATTTTAATCGTCTTTTGTTTATGGATATAAACGTAATACGTACAAAACAGCTGTTCTATTGAAAAGTCGAACATCTTCCATCTGATTTTTGTAGTCAGAGGTTGCGAACAGTCTGTTGAATGGAAGACAGGCCCGTGTTTTTCTCTGTAGGGACATCACCACGTACCTAATCGACTCTGAAACCCACACTGGATCTTAATTCGGTTCACTGCTCACATCTAACTCAGATGTTAAAAATGTATGAAGATTCACCGACAGTGTGAGCGATGAATAAGCTACAAAGACCATTTTGCTCTGCAAGTGCCAAATTTGGCGACCCCAAAGTATGGGTGTCTTAGTCGTAAATTTCTTCGTGTAAGATCTGAATGCTTCCAGAAAGTTGTAAATTAAAACATGATTTATCTTCTGTTGAGATCCGAAATTAGTTCGTAAATCCTCGATTTTTTTTTGTGAGTGATGTGAAATTACAGTATTGCCCACTAGTAACTCTTTTATAGATGAGCAGGTTATTACGCAATGCTATGAAAACATTACGTGTACTTGAAGCGTGACTCAGACATGGACTATTTATGGTAAATCTCACATAATTTTAGAGCGTGTATTCCATGTCGGCTTTGATTTATTATATGAAAAGAAAACAGTACTCCTGGAAAGAAGGTGGAAGACTTTTTCGTGTATATATTAAATCTTGTCTGTCTAATCACAATAAATTCTTATTAAATATTAAAATATTTTACAATAATTAACATTTAAAATATTTAAAATATTAAATGATGTTCTTTATCGAAATATTCGATTTACATTAGACCATCATTTTTCATGTTTAATCTTAACGGGGGGGGGGGGGAAATAGATTGGTGACTCCTGATGAAAGGATGCTGAGGGAAATATTGGGGAATGAATAAAATCACGTAATAAGGAATTTGATATATATTCTTTACCAGATAATATTATGATGATAAAATCAAACCAAGGATTGTAGGGTAGGTGGGACTTGTAGTACGAATGGGAGAGGTAATAAATGCATACAAAATTTTAGTTAGATTGACTCTATATTGTAGCTCTGGTAGTTTGTTTCCAAGTAAAACATTCTACCATGAAGTTGATTACTTTAGGTAAAATATAGAGAAATTAGTAACTTCACATACCACCTGTGTTTTTTCATTAGATTTGTGTGTTTACTTTTATTATCTATGGTATTTTATTTTTACTATTTCTGTTTTAAGTTCTTTAACAAGTCTCAAATGCCCTTCTTCTACTCAGTTATTTGCATGTTTGAGCAAATCTCAAATGCCTTTCTTCCACTCAGTTGGCACTATCGACTTGTTGAATGACCATTACCAGTTCTGTAACCCATGGATTAGTAAATACATGCTGTCATCTGCCGGCCGCTTGGCGAACTCGCTTAAACCTGTTCTAGAATGCGCCTACTTCTCAGTTACGTT